AGTGAATAGGGCTAGGTAGTGACCCACCCAAACTAGTGTCACAGCCCTTGGGGGGAGTCCCCTGGGAGTCGCATCCAGTGTGTGTGAAGCCCCACAGAGCAGGAAGGTGTTACAGAGGACTTGACCACAGAGCTTAAGGTCTGTGGACAAGTCCCAAAGGCACCTAGGAGGCACCTCAGAGTGATCCTCTCCTGTTGGTGACCATGAGCCCATTTAAAATTTTCTGATTTGGAAACTGAATTAAACTAAAGGTGCTTCAATATTAGACTCCTAAGTAATTTTGGTCAATATTCCAGGGGTCTCGTAACATGCCAGGCCTGTCTGCAGCCACTCTGGCCTCCCTGGGGGGGACCTCCTCTCGGAGAGGTAGTGGGGACACCTCCATCTCCATCGACACCGAGGCCTCCATGAGAGAAATCAAGGTAAGACACTCTACTTACTTAGAACTCAAAAGAACCTTATGTGAAAATCATTCTTCTAATTTAAAAAAGATAGAATTCATCAAGTTCTGGATCTTTCTCCTCAGTCACATCTCCCCTCCCTTCCCTAAAAGATGGTATTCTTGTAACACCAAGACCCAGCTCAGATATTGTCTCCTGCAGGGAGTGACCGTGAGCTGCCTCTGCCCCCAGCACCCGGGCACACCTCAGCGAGGGCACCCACCATGACCTGTTGATGCGCTTGTGTAGACTCCAGATCACTTCCTGCTCCCAACCACCCCACGTGCTCTCACCCCCCGGGCCTCCCAGCGTCTTGCCCTCTTGCCTAGAACACGCCCTCCTTTCTGTCTGCCACTTTCCATTAGTAGGCCTCCTGGCTATATCTGAATTCTTTTTCTCCCACTAGAACGTGGTTCTGGTTAAATCCCTAGCAGCCAAGACAGGGCCAGGCATTTGGTAGCCTCTGCGTGTGAGAGAGAATCAAGCGCTGTTTGTTAAAGTAACTAGGGACATTGCACTTGGAAAAGAGAGGACCCAAAGAGAAGGTGGGGCCCCTAGAATGTGGGTCCTCCAGAGGACAGAACCAAGATGAAGGGAGCCAAGGGGAGCTAAGGTGGCCATGTTTGTGGCCGAGGTTTCAACTTACAACTGGTTAGAAAGAGAATCAGCTCCCAGGGGTGATGTCTGACTGCCCTGCTAGAAAACAGCATTCTTCCTGGGGGCCCACATGGCTCCCAAGGCAACCAAGGTAAAGAGTTGCATGAATTAGATACGCTCCACAGGCCATGGGATCAAAACTAGCATGAGTTAACTACAGCTCTGATGGCAGTAAATGTGTGAGGCATCCCCAGAGGCTGCCCTGGGCCCCCTTGCAGTTGCCGTCCATGCCTATATTGTAGACGTCCGCGAAGCCAGAAAAACAGTTTCCCACATGCTATCCCGTGGTCTCCTGCAGCTCTTTGCTCATCACTGCCCTGCACAGAATAAGAGTTCCCTGCAGTCCTAATTTGCCCCACTCTTAGGTAGTAGCGTTCTTCATTTTGTTCGGTGGGTACCCACCGAGAAACTGGCTCAGGCCAGGTACTGTCCCAGGAACCAGTATAGACTCCATGAATATAGGGACAAAGTTGTGGTGATTTTTTTACCTCTAGCATCTTACTGTATCTTGCACAGACCAGGAACCCAGAGTGCTTAAAGGAATTGGTAACCATGAGTGAAATGACAGGTACTGTTTTCAGAAGCTCTTTTGCTTATGAAATCATCCAGTATACACCTAAATTTTAATCTTTGTAATATTGAAACTTATTTTATTTTCCTTTAACACTCAATAAAACAAAAAATTGGCTGCTTACATTACCGAAATGATAGAATAGTAGCCAGAGTATAGAAGCCAGAGGGACTCACCCCTTTCCTTGACACCATTTGCCTTTTTGCCATTGTCCCAGGAACTCAGTGAGTTAAAGGACCAGATTCAGGATGTGGAAGGCAGATACATGCAGGGATTGAAAGAGATGAAGGTACCAGTTTACAGAAATGTGGTCTCACAATATTAACCTGACTTAACTTTAAAAATTCCAGCTGCATGCTGCCTCCACGGAGACTCCAGGCTGGAGCTCAGAAGGCGGGAATGCCCGCATGGGTTGCATGTACCACTTTCCCAGATGCAGTGTTTTGGATCAATACTTGAAAATTGTGGCTCGGCGCCTGTAGCTCAGGTGGCTAAGGCGCCAGCCACATACACCTAAGGTGGCGGGTTCACTGTCTTATTTTCGGGGAAACATGGTATGACAA